TTTACCAGCCGGTTCAACTTCCGTTTTGCCACATCTAGAGCAGAAAAGCATACTCTTAACTAGAGCATAGTCGTTGGCAAATAAAAAGAGACCAAAATCAAACGGAAACAACCTATATAAAATTTTTGAGATTTAATACACATACAGCAGCTTCCTCCTGGACAGAAGAAGCAAAGACGTTACGGAAGAATTGGAGATTTTAAAATTAGGCGATAAAATTAAACGATATAGAAATTAGCGAAACTATGAGCAAGTGACTATCGTTTCACTACTAGAACAGTCCGAGCAGACTTGCTCAAGCGGTAACGCTATAGTTTTTTTATTTCTTTTAGCTTCTTGGGGTGGGGTGAGACTGAGTTCATTTGGTGCTGCGGCCACTATTAGGCTTATTGTACCAGCCCCGGATGATAGATGATGAATTTGGAGCATTCGGTGTGATGAGAAATGGCAAGAGAAACCGAAGTACTCGGGGGAAAAAAAACCTGCCCCAATGCCATTTTCTTCACCATAAATCCACATGACCTGACCTGGGCTCGAAACCGGGCCGCCGCGGTGGGAAAACGTTATATAGTTACTGGCTTACATTCGTGAGGTCTCGACTCGAGACTATCCTGAGTGAAGGTTTTCGTGGTTTTCCTTCGTCCCTCGAGACGAGTGCCGGGATAATAATTTTAAATGAGCCTCAACCGCATTACTTTTCCCATTAGTTTCCAGTTCAACTTACCATTCAGCGCTGCATAGTTTCAGCTACTGAGAACGTTAAATCATAAACATAATAAACAACAACCACTGCTATGGAGGTTATAGCAGAACTATTCGCAAAAACAGAGAAACACGACCTATATATGCGTTCGGTTAACGCAAGTCGTGCAAAGAACGCATAATAACGGAAATAGGCGTTGATGGATGTCACTGCGATAGAATAAACAGGCATGAACTTTTTATGTATGTATGTAAGACTAATGGAACACTCTGGTTAGCTACACATGCTGTAACCGGATATCTTGCAGAGAAAATTGCAGTCTTACTTCGATGCTTCTTTAGACGTTTAATCAGTGAAAATATATATTAGTGCCATCTACTGACAGTTCAGGCAAACTATTTGTAGCTTACGATAACTTTAATTGAAGCTTGCTCATTTAAGTATCGTGGTATTACGATTCACAGGATTCCGAAGGACTATGCTGTTTATTACGAAGTCGATAGTTAACAAATTGTGCAACATTTAACCGTGTCCATGTTACGAATAGGATTTCCTGTCTCAGTAAATCCAGTTGCTTCTGCTCGGAATATATTTCATACTTGATAATGTCAGTGAAACACAGTCTCTAGCATTCTCTTGGAAATGTACGCTATTTGTGGCTTTTAATCATTTGAGGTTGCTGTCTCGTCACCAGAATGCAGAGCAAAATCACAACATAAAGACAGCTAACAGATGTTTTGAAAACGTGGCACAGTTCAGATATTTTGAAACGACTATAATAAACCAAAACCTGATTGAGAAGGAAATTAAGAGGAGACCGAATTCAGGTAATGCTTGCTACCATTCAGTCCAGAACCTTTTGTCTTCTCGTCTGCTGTCCAAAAACATAACAATTAGAATATACAAAACTATAATTTTGCCTGTTGTTCTGTATGGGTGTGGAACTTGGTCTCTGACATTAAAGGAGGAACACAGACTGAGGGTGTTTGACAAGAGGGTTCTGAGGAGAATATATGGATCAAAGAGAGATGAAATGACAGGAGGTTGGAGAAAACTACATAACCAGGAGCTTCGTAACTTGTACTCTTCACCAAATATAATTAGAATGATAAACTCTAGAAGGAGATGGGCAGGGCATGCAGCACGAATTGTGAGAAGAGGAATGCATATAAGACATTGGTGGGAAAGCCAGAATGAAATAGACCACTAGGAAGACCAAGACGAAGGTGGGTTGACATTTTTAAAGTGGATGGGGTGGTATGGACTGAATTGATCTGGCTCTGGATAGGGACCAGTGGAGGTCTCTTGTGAACACGGTAATGAACCTTCGGGTCCCATAAAATGCTGGGAAGTTCTTGAGTAGCTGCCCAATTTGCGGCTTCTCAAGAAGGGCTCAGATCCATGAGTGAGTGAGTGAATCATTTGAGGTGCTACTTAGTATTCAGACATCCGTAATTGGCGTAGAGTATTTCAGGAGTCATACGCATTAGAGACTATTGGTTTAAATACTAGTGACATTAGTCTATGGGCCTACAAATTTCAAAATGAGTCATCATTCAACGTCAAGCAAATTATATCTCTCGGGCATAGTACTGTCATAACAGAAAGATGTATATTGTGGCCTATTTGCTCAAGGCAAGAACTGTGGAGCCAGAGAAACAGCCGTTGCTAGGCAATGCCCGCACGCAACTATGGAACAATTGCGTAAACACGTTTCCGCGGAGACGAATACGCGCAACAATAGAAGAGCTGTTTTTTTCTGTGCGGTCCTTGGCGAGGGGTTATAAAAAGGACAAAGAAGATCGTTTAAATCAGTAATGACAGACCCGACCTCTCGTCAGAGAGGGTGCCCCAAATGGACAGGACAGCAACTTTCACAAAGAAGAAAACATCTGGTCATGAGCCGACACCAAGACAGACTGACTGACTGACCGGCAGTTACAACATGACTTTTGACTTTGTTTAAATCAGTTGAGTTTAGAGAGGCTAGCCTCCAAGGAGCAGAGGAACTGAGTCATCAGAATTATTGAGTGGAGTTCAGTTCAGCTGGCAGTCAGGCTGCGAAGAGACCTTGTGTGTGTTGTAGTACAGTGATATTTGAAGTAAGTGATTCGGTGAGACTGTTATAGTTCCTGTGTTAAAATCCGTTGCCAGGAATCGGCTAGTGGAGACTATAATAGACTGAGGACACTAGTGGATGTATCAGTGAATTGTACAGTGTGGAAATCAGGGATAACGCTGTATTACTTATAGTTACGAGTTGAGTGTATAGGTGTCAATAAATCCAGTCATCCAATTCAAAACCCGTTAATAGTCATAACCCTAAAACGTGACAATATTATCTAAAGACGCATCAGGATATAACACTTAACGATACCTTACTGAACTGAGCTGGTATTTTTCTTAACATCACACGTTCCTACGTCAACCATGAGAACATAGGTAGATATATCAAACCACATGGAAAAGTACGCTGTGAACTATGATCTGGAATTATTTTTTTGCTTAACATTTGGGCGAATAATAAATGACAATTCTCAGCGATTGTATTCTCCAGTTCAATCTAACTCACATAACATGTATTTCAGATCCATTTTAATATGACATTCCTATCTGCTGAGCATTCGAAGTGGCCACTATCCAAAATTATATATGTACTTCATATTTTCCTGCAGCCAAAAGCAACCTTCCTATCACAGCGTCTTTAATTAAACCATGCTATCGATACAAGTATATTAATATAAATCATATAGTTCATTCTCATTCCATGTTTATTTCATGCAGAGAACAGCTGAGCTAAATTAATAACCATCCTTGTTTAGGAGTTTACACTTAGAAAGTTGAAATCTGGAACAGAGAGAACCACTTTCAACGTATCCTCTCAGCTATGATTTGGTTTCCCAATTGGTGTTCTGCTTTGAAGTTTTTCATTTGATGCTGAATTATCCGTCAGAGCGTTGCAAACCACCAACCGAGAAACACTGCTTTAGAAAAACTAGATTCAAAAGGAAGCGCAAGTCTCGTATGGATGTACATTTTAATTGAAATTTATTAAGGTTTCAGTGCAGCTCGGACCATCCGGGGGCACCATGAATATTTATGCTGATCTGCCTCAGTCGTTATACGCAGGTCTGGCCTTCATAAGCACTCAGTTTCCGACAGGCATGTGTATATAATCAGCTTCCTTTTAAATAGGTACCCATCTGAGAGTGAAGACTAATTCATACACATATCATATCCCATATTTGTCCATCCTTGACAGGAACGACATCTCTCCAACTGAATCATTCTCTGTGCCTCTCTCATCATGTCCGGGTATAGTAGATTTATTTTACGGGAATAGTGACATACACACGAAAGCTGCGGGAGGGGGGGGGGGCGCTTTATGAAACCCCTGCATATGTACGCAACTTATTGAACAATTATGTCAAGCGGATGGTCTAGTCATGTAGCTGCAGGCACGAAGCTCTGACGTCACGATCGTGTCAGCTGCCGAATTTGTGCGAGATGTAACGAAGAGAAGGGTAGAGGCATGAGTCGCAGCCAATCACGAGTTAGTACGTTGCTGTCCACAGAGGCGAATGGAGTTGTGGGGTGTTATTGTCTACGGAACTGGCAGCAGCATTATTTTAATGATTAAGTAGTCATTTCAAGGCTTACCGGTATGAATAAAAGCGATTATTGTTTAAACATATAATTTCTGTTATTGTATTGAACATAATTTTCTGGAGTAACTCAGGATGTCTTTATATAAAATTCGTTGTTGCATTTGAAACTAGGAATGAAACGCAGTGCACAGTAGTATTCGCGGTTAAAAAATGCACGTGGTCATGAAAGTCATAATGTACACGTTGCTTTACCAAGTTCGAAAACATTGAGAGTGATACATACTGCAGCGTGTGTGTTGTGTTCTTATGTGTATGGATATTATAGACGATGGTATCACTGTTTCATCGCTTGCGGACTGATTTGGTATGAGAGATTGGCGTTTTCTGAAGAGGGTGTGGGCATACCAGTATTAAGGTAGACTACGTGCATTATATCATGTACTTATGTTATGTTTCTATTTGTCTTGACTTCCAGCAGATTATCCGAAGAGAAGCTCAAAGAATTGTGATCAGATTTCGACTGTATCGTGGATGCAAGAACAGAGACGATGAACAGGAAGCTTTGAAGGACCACACAATTCCCTTTTGTAGTAATTTCAAGTATACAAAAGGAGCCGATAGCTTATATTACGTTACTTGAAAGGGTATAAATATATTCTAAATTTGTAACAGTTATATATGTGATACAGCGTACAGAAGATGGAGTACGTCATGATAAAAGACATCAGGCCAGGTTTGAAAAATCTCAACGTGGTGTTCATTGTATTAGAGGTTGGTCATCCAACAGTGACTAAGGAAAACCGTGAGGTACGGACTTGCAAAGTTGCAGATTCATCTGCTTGTATTAATGTTTCGATTTGGGATGAACCAGGGCAACTTTTGGTTCCAGGTGATATAGTCCGCCTAACAAAAGGCTATGCATCGATTTGGCGTAACTGCCTCACCCTATATTCTGGCAAAAATGGCGACATACAAAAAATTGGTGAATTCTGCATGGTATTCAACGAGCAGTTAAATATGAGTGAACCAAATCCTGCTCTATCTGCACAGTTAAATCAGACATCAGGAACTCCGAACAACAATAGTCTTAGTGGTAATAACAATGGAAACAGCAACAACGGTGGCCCAGTCGGCCGCCATTCTGGTGTACAAAGTTCTCAGACTACACCTGCAATTCAGCAGAATTCCGTGTGTTCAGGGAAAGGGAATGGAAGTGGTACTCGTTTCAGTGGTGAACAGACGGGAGGGGGGAAAGCTCAGGGCAAAGGAAGCCAAAGAGGAAAGGGTGGTCATAGGAATGGGGCACGTGGTGAAAGACGGTGAGGGATATTTTGTGTTATGTAATGTTTACCTACAACAGGGAACATGTTATCAAAGGACACTATAATTTCATATTAAACAGTGTGAAGTAAATTGATGCATTAACGTGTAAACAAAATTATGTTAATTGGGTTTATTTACGTGCATTGTAGGTATTCATTGTTTGTATTTGCCAACAGTTTACAAAAAGGATGACGATTAAAGCAACTGCTTCACCAAGTTTCCCCATGTATTTCTTGTACAACTTAAATTACAAGTTTTCTGTCAGTATTGTGATTGCCAATATTGCTCTGGGTAGCTTTCAAATTACACTTTCTTATTCATTGGCCTTGCCTTGGTGATTGAAATGGAGACTGTGTTTTGTGTGACCTGATCTAAAATTTAGTTGAAAATTAGAAACACCATTATGACAAGATTCTGCGCATCCACAACAGTATTTATTTATGTCATAAGATAGGCCAACTTGCTGAACTAAATAATTAACAATACACCCTAAACGAATTTTGTCCTAACCTTCGCAAGGTTTTCTTTGTAGTGCACAATTTGACAAAGGTGAACGCTTTGGAGATAGTTCTGGGCATTTGTTCTAGAATCGACTTCCTTATCCCAACGTATCCAATGAAAAAGCAACGTGCAAGGCATTAAAAAACATCTGCAGTTTCATTGTATTTGGTTGTATAACTCGAATGTCGTCGTGGACGAGTAAGTAAACTTGACGTAAGCAAATGTATGGATACAATATGGCGAACTGAAGCGATTAGACGTGAATCTCTTCGGCCTGTTTGTGGTGGATTGTTTAACACGGAGTGAAGTTTTCCCCTTTAAGTAAAATTTATAATCGCGTGTATAAATGACTGACGAGTGAAGTGCAAATCAAGGATTTTACTTCTACAGTCAAGATTCTTCGGGTGACTTAGAGAGGTTAGGGCGTAATAATATGGCAACATCAATCTCATACATTTGGTATAGGGTATCGAAAATAGTCTTTTAATTAATACTGAAATTAGATGCAGTAAAACTTCCTGGATAATGCCGAACCCTATACTGAGATTGTCAATATTTCCTAAATTCGAACCAGAATTCAGAAATGACATGCACAGTGTGTATGCAGGCAAATTGAACTGAAGTGCCACACAAACGTAACGATTTTTAACGATAAGCACAAAACCGTAGTTCACATATCACCTCATGTATTAATACTGTACCTCATTTAAAATTGCTTTAGGACCCTGTCATACCTGTCGCGATTCATTTATCAAATTTTACCTAGTTACGCACGTTATAAGAAAATGTTTGCAGTGACATTCCCAATCGAACTGTTCCTGGTTTATCAAAGCGTTACAAATTATGTCAGTCAGTAAATCTTAGGATGAAATAAATACAATAAAAAATAAACTGCCATAGCTTCTTTTTGTAGGTACAGTAGAGGAAAGCCCTCATGAACGTATGAGGGGTAGGCCTTCTTGGCCCTTGCACCACGACCTACAGTGGTCTGTTGTGCTTTACATGCCCACATAGTCTTGTACATTTGAAAGTAATATATGAGAGGTTTATATGTCACCCTTTTTCCAAGCTATGTATTTGCTCTTATTATATATCAGAGAGAAAATATCAGTATGTACATATTCTGTTGTGCAGATCTTCATTGTCTTCTCTAAATCTGAATTTGATATTCTGTAATATAACATTTAGGAGGAACTTCATTAAGGTTTCAAAAATTGGAGTTGGCAGGTGAAGGTTGCACCATAGCATTTGCTATGCATTGGGAGCTAAACCAGGCTTTTCATTCAGTACTGTTCACTTCTTACATGTGGAGAAATCTTCCAAGTCTCACTCTTATGGCATCTGATGTTAGGACAGTGAAGTACAATGCAGCAATATTCGTAACATTTCTTGGTTAATTGATAATTCAGTTGGTTGAACAATAATCCCACACAGAAATGCATGACAACTCAAGTGGAAGCAATGTAACAGTTTTATAACTCACTCTGTGTCTCTGCTATCAACCATCATTCACTAGATATCATGTTTAACATCAGCCTTAAAGTTTACTAAGAACTTCAGTTTTGATGAGACAAGCAAGCAAATTTGTAAAAATGTATTGAAGACCAAACAGGTCCCAGTAAATGTAATTTTCTTTATGGAAGATTAAAGTAATGATGGAACCTTACCTCTGTCCATAAAACTGTTTGTGATATATGCGCTGTCAACAGCTAAAGGTACTGGCCCATTCTGATATACTGAACTTGAATGTACTAACATTTTATAGAGATTCCAGTCTGTTGTATGAATTCATTTTACAATAAATTAGATCGTCCATGACTGGTGACTGATCAAGCTCTCGTAATGTTAGTTTGCAGATACATTTTAAGTATATCATAGCAATTGGACATCTTAAGTTTTATGTTAACAGACATAGTCCAAAATGTTGGTTTTGTATGAAGATCTTGGAAATAGGTTAGAAGGAACGCACGAAAAAAGATTAAGTTGCATCACAATGAATACTGCGTGGAATTACCGGATGGATGTTGATGCTGGGAGTGAAGTAGTACAGAAAAATGCTCATTTTCCTTCATTTTTAGCCCAGTTTCCAACTTTTTAGGAGGGAAAAATGTAGGTCTGGTCTAGTCTGTATGTGTGTCTTCTTTTTTAACTTTTGAACCAGAAGACTATTTTCACAAAGTTTTATATGGACATTATACCATTGGAGGCCACCCAAAGACTGTAATTTTTAGTTCTTGCAGTCAGTAATAACTAGGGCCCGGATTTTTATGACCTAAAAACTATAAATATATGCATGCACTTATGACCCAAAATTATGTCAAATATGACCTTAAATATTAAATGGGACATAAAATTTCACAATTTTAATTACAACTTTTACTAGAGTTTAAGAATAAAGATGATGAATATATGATAGTAGGTCCTACTTACCAAATTAGCCCTATTATGTCTCTGAAGGAAAGAAAACTGATGGAATTTCGACATTTCGTACTGGATTAAACCATTCATTGTTTTCTTTTTAATACTGATATTTGCGTTCATATTTTAGACAAACACTGGTGCACATGGTATGAACACTAACTTAACTCTGTTATCTAAAACCACCATTTAAAAGAACATAAGTTATTCACGTCTCAATTTTCACTGTTACAGTTGAAATTTATAACTACATGCATTTTCAAATTTTCAAATTTGAAAGATCGCCGATTATCACTAAGGATAGTTTTGTATTTGGAAAAACTTCGTTCCACATCACATGATGTGACAGGAGCATATTTGAAGAATGTCAAGTCGTTTGGTGACAGTTCTGTATCATCTTCGAATGTTGCTAGTTTACCGGAAAGTATATCTGCAATCTTGCATAATGTTGAATAACCAGCATTCCGATGAAGAACACTTTCTATTTTGGTTTTAATCCTGTCACTTATTTCACCACGAGTTCGGTTTATTTCATTCTCAATGCTCTTTACAGTGTCCAACGCGTCACAGAGTTCAGTCCCTACAAATTCCAGGCGAGTTATTGCACCTGAAATTGAACAGAAGTTTGACTTTATGTATGCTAGATTTTGTGCTAGAGTGGTAGAGAATAAGTCCTTGACAGCTTTAATTGATGTTGACTCACTGCTGTCAAAGCCATTAAACATTTTCTCAATGGCTGTGTAATTTTCACAATAATATGCCACAGCATCCAACCATGTACCCCACCGTGTGACGACAGGCTGTGGAGGAAGTGGCAGTAGAGGAGCTTCTTGTTTAAATTTCTGCACTCGAAGAGGGGCCTTGATGAATATTTTCTTTCCGTTTGAAACTAGCCTATCTACATCAGGAAAATGTCCTCGAACTTCTTCAGCCACTCTATGCAATGCATGAGCGAGGCAAGTAATATGGACCATTTTCGGGTAGAGGATTCGAAGTCCTTTGGCAGCCTTCTTCATGTATGGAGCGGCATCTGTTACTAGGAGAAGGACATTATTTCGCTGTATTCCATTTGGCCACAACAACTTCCTGGAATTATCAAATAGGACAGCTATAGTTGAATGATTTGCTCTTTCGAGAACTTCACAGTCAAGAAGAAATCTCTGTCCAGGTTGATCTTGTTTCAGGGTCCCAACTATAACATTCGCAATAAGCCGCCCATCTACGTCAGAAGTCTCGTCCAAGGAAACCCATATCTTGTTGTCAGCAACAGATGTTCGAATCTTATTTAACATCTTCATAACATGTAGAGAGATAATTCTTTCTTAACGTCGATTCACTTGGGATAGGATGACTAGTGTATGTCTTCAAAAATTGTCTGAAGTGCTGATTATGCAATTTCTCTAATGGAATATTCGAAGATACCATCCACTGACACAAATCCTTCGAAAATTCCGACCCACTGTTCGTTTAAGAAGGTGAAGGAGAAGAAGAAGAAGAATTAGTGGAACTGTTTTTAAACAACAAACTTTGTCTGCTATCCTTTGTAGATAATCTGCTTAAACATCTACCATAAATGCTGCATTTCACAAATTTTCGCCTTTATAACTGCAAGTACAGTCCAGTCAAAAATATGGTTTTTAATATGAACTTCATGTACTTGAACTCTATTCCACATTGAAGCAACAGTCCAGCCTGAAATTTATTTTGTAATACTAAACATTATTGAGCCGAAATTTTACATTATATCAAAGAATTGTTTCTAAAATGACAAAAATGACCTTATTTCAAAATTATGCCAAAATATGCTGTAAAACCAATAAAACTCTAAAATATGCATTTATATGCACAATAGAAACGACATAATTTCAATAAGAATGACTGGAAACATGCATAATTACATTTAAAAATAGGAATAAACCCGAGGAAAAAAATATGACATGTCATAGAAATCCGGGCCCTAGTAATAACAATGTGGCAGATACAGAGATTTGTGAAGTGGGAATGATACTATCATCCCATAATGCAGGGTCTGATATAACATGTAGGTAGATAGATCTTCAAAAAATACAAAATTTTGTTGAGAGAATTTGTTTATAGAATGTTAAACAACAATATGGTCATTTTGTTTTTTGTTTATCTTTCAGTCTGATGATGAAAATGAATCACTGAAGTTATAAAAGTTAAATTTGGCATGAAAATAGATCATAAATATACACACATGTTACATATAGACATTAATTGTAAGTCAACAGGTACAAACAAGACAACAGTGTAGATCGTTGAGGTTATATCCAAGAAATATTAACGTTTTACTTAAATACTTAAATAGTAAGCTATTCACAAAAGTAAAATAAATGTAATAATAGTGGTAGGTCTGTAGGACTGAAAATCTGTGGAACTCTTAAGTTCTATTTATAACTTATTACATAATGTGATGAATGAAGTATGAAACCAAATGAAGCATGTGTTTACACACTGCACGCTGAAGGCATAGATGAGGTGTGAAAGTGAAGATCAACATAAAGTAAAAAGTAAAGTAAAGGTATCCCTGTAACAGACCATGGAGTCCCATAGGGTTGAGATGTTGAGGTTCCCATATTTTCTAGACAGTCGCCTCATATATGGCGGTAAGGTTGTCAGCCTTACGCGCCGGCCGCCCTCTACCCCCAAGAATACTCCAAGAATGTTCCTGGTACTCATTTCTGTTCACCCCAGGGACATAGTGCGGCTGGAAGGATTAGGTAAATTGAAAAAATCCACCTCATCGGGATTCGATCCTGCAACGTTCTGGCTTATAGCATAATGCCTCAACCAGCTATGCTACCGCATGCCCCCAGATCAACATATTGTACTGTAAATGGTGACTGGTCAGATTTGTGCTCTGGCTGCTTTAAGCCAAGGGACAAGATTCCCAAGTACTGACTGTGGAGGAGGTGAGGGACCCCAGAATCAGTCTGCACATGGTGACAAAGAGAAAAACTCTGCCCCTGCTGAAACTGAACACCAGTTTTCCAACCCATAACCAGTGACTGTACCGACATTTTCTGGCCTCCTGTTGATACGCAGAAGAGGATTATATTGTTGGGTATCTGGAACAGACTGAAAGTAAGCAGGTTAAAGCCGGCAATCATGCAGACTACATGGACAGTCAGAAAGCTACATTGAGAATATCTGAAGAATGTGGAAAATTTTGTATACCTGAGCAGCACAATAAATGAAATTGAAAGTAAAAGCAAAATTAATAACACAGTTCAAAGAGCAACTACAACAAATTGTGTGGAAGTGTTTAAAAATTTAAGTTTCTTGGAGCAACAGTATCCATTCTGAGGCCAAGGTCTGGACATCTGGTACACTTACACCGAGGCCACAAAGTCCCATTACATAAATATAGTATTATTAGCCATTTTACAATCATACCAAAGTAAAGGACATAGAATTCTTCCACTGCAAGAGTAGGGGGGTTAGGGAAACTGCATCAGTGAAGTAGAGATTAAAATGTTCCCTAATACACAGCTCAGGCAGTGACAGCTGTTGTCACTATGAGTAGTATTTATGTAAATTTTGATATGTTCAAGGTAGTGACTGTTCAGATCGTGCTCTTCAGAGTTGTAACACCATGTAGCCTTATAGGCAGATTCCAGTGTTTCAGTCAACCATGCTGTCTCCATCTTTAGAGTTGAAACATGTAGGTTCAGAAACTGAGTTTGTGATACAGGCAGGTTACAAGCAACATAGTCATGAGGCCCAAGGAACTGGGGGGAGGTGGGGATCACTATCACAGGTGAGACAGGGAGTAGTGAGAAGGGACACCCTTTTCTGGGCGGGAAGTGAGGAGGAACTCCTTTTCTCCCCTCAGGGGCTTGCTGTTTTTTAGTTTGAGAAGAGGAATGCATATAGGGTTTTGGTGAGGACAGCCAGAAGGAAAGAGACCACTAGGAAGACCTAGATCTAGATGGGAGAATAATATTAAAATGGATATTAGGGGAACAAGATTGGGTATGGACTGGATTCACCTGGCTCAGAATAGCTGAGCAGTTGTTGGCTTCTCAAGAAGGATTTGGCTCCGTGGATTTAGTTATGGTGTTCCTCCAAAGAAATATGTCGGTACAAGGGGGATAGACAGTACTGAAGATCTTTCCAATAGAAAAGTTTAAGCTGAATTTTAAGTTTTACCTTATTTCACTGTGTGTTATTTGCACATAGCAGACAACATTATATGGCCTCTGTGGAAGAAAGTTATGATGCAGCAGGTTGAGTACATCTGAGATTAATTTAGTATTGTGCTACATTTGTTATTATAATATGGTTCTTTGTAGTTTGGTATTTTATATATAGCATTTCATGGATACAGAGTTAGAGAATGTAGGATGCGGAATAAGTCATATTGTAATATAAGAAAATTAAATTATCCTGAAATTTGTCTAGGGCAACTGAAGAAGACTAACACACCTCTCACATGTTAAATGGTCTCAGATAGTGAATCTTGGATCTTTGAAAGACAAGTAGCAAGCAATAACTATGTCATGGATCTTTGAAAGACAAGTAGTAAGCAATAACTATGTCATAACGTTTAGCAAGGTCAAAGTAGTACAGACCAAAGAAGGGAATTTTCCACTGTACAGAATGTGTTCTTACCTTGATAAGGGGTTAAAAAGCCACACACGGGAAGTTTATTATCTAGACCGGAAGTGGGTGAGATAAATATCAGGTGGCAGGAACCTGAATATACTAAGAATGAAATGCCAAAGGAATTGCTCCATTTTTCAGTTTTACAGTGGAGTCAACATCAAACAGCACAGAACAAAGCACTGAACATAATACATATGCATTCAGGTAACAGTACAGGGCTTGTGATACACCTAAAATTGAACATCTTTTGATAGTTCAAGTTAGGAACTGGTGGTCAGCTCTTGTGAACATCGTAATAGACTTTCAAGTTCCACAACTGGTAGAACATTTGAGTAGCTTAATGACTAGTAGCTTTTCATGCAGATTTTTATAATACACATGCAGGTGACCACTAACACATAAACAGACACATTTGGCCATACTATGTCTACTAGCTTCAACATGTCTGTCCACACACAACACAACTTGGGAACTGCTGAATGGATTTTCAGAACATTTTATTTGGGAGGGGGGCTACTAATATTTGTCAGCACAATCCAATTGTGGTTAAAATCGGACAACAGTAATGGACAAGTCACATAAAGACTTACATGTTAGGTTTCTGAGATAATTAAATGAGGGTAATGAGCCAGAATTTTATGTAGTGGGTACATTTCCTTCCTATAGACTCATAATGTACACTAGAGATTAGGCTTCTGACTGTATAATTTGAGGTCAAATTATAATGGTGATGTTTTTGGCTCTTTAGAATTGAAATCACACTGTTATGGCCCAGAAAAGGCATTTAGATTTGTAAGTATAATATGAATATGTAAATACATAGTTATATGTAATTTATATAATAAAAGGTTAAAGGTAAAGTTGTCCTTGTGCTTAACTAATTAAGCACTATGCCATGAAGGCATATGGGGGAGCTGATGTATAGATCCACATTTTCTTGACCTCGGATCTAGTTGGAAGTGACTGGTTAGCTTCACACTGCAGCTGATTTACCCATGGGGAAAGATCCCCTGCTAGCCATTGGATAGGAGATTGGGTGGACTGCAGAGCTGGTCTGGATGACATGGAGAAGAGAAAATTCTTGACCCTACCGGTACTTGAACTCTGACTCCTCGGTCGTCCAGCCTGTAGCCAGTCGCTATACTGACTACACTATCCCAGCTCCATGTAATTTGTATAATATGTATAGAAACAACTTTCCTATTAACAGTTTGTTAATTTCCTGTTTCCTACCAAAGGCTGAATAGAGAACACCTATATATTAAGAAATTTACTTTAGGCTTTCCTTATTCCAAGCATGTGCAATAGCCATAGCTGCTTTAGCAACGTGGAGGTATTGCCTTATAGTTTATCGATGTGGTTTGAATCCTCATTCTGAATTTCTTTGGGTGTGGTGTGAATTCTCATTTATAATTTAAATTTAATTATTGTTTTCTGATATTCATGCTTAAATATTATAATGAAAAACATTTCTCTGTGGATGTCATCATCTTCAGTAAAGGAAGCAGATCATAGGTGCTCTATGCTTACGTGAAATTTACTGCATTCTATTATTTCCCCATGGATGAATTTCAGATCTGCTTTAAGGTTGACAGTGTGGAATATTTCCTTCTAGGAGTTTATATTCCTTTTGTCCATCATCATACAGGGTGTCCCAGGAGGAATGGACCAAACTTCGGGAGGGTATTCCTTATGTTAAAGTATGCCGATATAACCCAAAACACCTATGTCCAAAGTTGAACGGTTACGGAGATAATGGCCAGAGAAGTGTCAAACTTTGACCGGTGTTACACACTTGTTGATTACAAAATACATATTAAAACTGGCGGGAATATGTGGATTCTGTAACGTTAATAATGTACGTAAGATCAAACTAACTTGTGACTGACATGAAGCCATAAAATTGAAGTACAAAATACTCGCTCACCATGTCATAATTGTCCTTAGGGTTTCCAAGCACTATACATGACACATGAATGGCAAGCGCTGACGTAACGTTCTGACTGCGCGTTCTGATAAAGCCAACTACATAAGTACGGCTAGGGTGAATCACGGCACTCAAAGACAAACATAGATAAGGCCTCTCAGCTGAGAGGTACAGTGTGTGGACCCGCTAGAAGACCACACTTTTCTTGGGCCATTATCTCCGTAACCGTTCAACTTTGGATATAGGTGTTTTGGGTTATATCGGCATACTTTAACATAAGGAACATCCTCCCGAAGTTTGGTCCATTCCTCCTGGGACACCCTGTATATCATCACTCACTCTTTGTTTACCAAGAACATATGCGTGTATTATTTAATTTTATGTTGTGTGTTACCAATTAGAATTCCAGAGGCTTGGGCTGATGGTTACAGTGTTTTATAAAAATTTGTGCTGATTATTCATTATAGTTCCAATGCCAAAGATAGGGAACTGTTCATTTTTGCTAAGGAACTAACAGTGTATATGATGAAGAGACAGCAAGTAACACTTAATACAATATCCGAGTGTTGGCCTCTTTAAAGATTTAAGTACTTTACATGTTATCATATGATAAGGAAAGTAAACATATCACAGGTAAAGAATGGATACTTCTGCTAGTTTAATAATTAATGTACACTGAAAGATATTAATTTATTATAAAGGCACATGAACAAGTTTATCTTTTACTTCAGTAATGTTGGTACTTCACAAAAATGCTTCTGAAAATCATTTAGAATCACAGTAAGAAGAATGGAGGTTTCTGGATATTGGAAGGTCATCTACAGAATATTGTTCACAGTTTTCATAAAAACTTAAATTTCTGATATTGAGGGAGTTGAACTTTTGTTTGATAAATTAACAGCTTCTTCTTTTGTCCTCAGCCCTTTTTTTCCCAAAATAACTCACTGAACATGTTACAACTGTGTTTCTCACACCTTGGTTATAATTTGTTTTAAGGATGCTGGATCTTGGAATAGAAAAGTGAATATCGGGGTACTCGAATGGTGTGAGCAAGATTATGGAGGTTGGATGTGCACAGATATTGGTTAGAAATGATGAAGGGAATGTCGGTTACTCCACTGTAAGATAGATATGAAATCTACAGTCACGCACAAAAAAAAAAAACCTCTGTGGCCTTAGTCCGCAAGCAAACTATCCCGACTGAGTGACTGCTGCTTGCCGGCGAAGTTAGGGCCAACGTTAGTGGATAGAGGGTGTCACGTGGTCAGAGCAACGGATCCCCACGGCTGTTAATCTGTTTTCTAGACTGGAGCCGCTACTTTTCCATTCAAGTAGCTCCTGAATTATCCTGATGAGGCTGAGTGGACTCCATTCCAGACCCACTATTCAGAAAATCTGGTAGCGCCGGGAATCGAACCTGGGACCTCTGGATCTGTAGCCAGAAACTCTGACCACTAGATCACAGAGTTGGTCACAGTTACAGCCACTTTATTATTGACTGTCCCACGCGTGTGCGCACACACGCAAAGTAATACTCAAAGTAATGGCAACTGTAACTCCTTTTGCTTTGATTTCTGGAATGATTGGCTGAATAACTGCCTGGCCTCCTTTGGCAGTGGAGTACTTTCTGGTTACTTCCTCCCTCAAGTAATTGCTGAACCGATTTCATTGATTGCAGTGCATTAATTTGTGTGTTAAAATTAAGTACCACACCTGTGCAGGGCCTCCATGAGCAATCACCAAGCATGTTACATCTTTGTAATACCTGATGCTCTGAAAAGTTTAGCAATATGTTGCTTATGTAGAAGGGAAACACATTCAGGGACCATCAACTGGCAACTTGCTGAAAAGGTCATTTGGTGGTACTTTCTTGAAAGATAGTGTGGGATTGTCGATGTTCTAAATGACAACTACGTAGAACTGTAACAATTATGAAGCTACGTGGAATGTTCAAAAGTTGGCTGGCCCTCAAAAGGGCAGTCTGTTCCACCATGAGTGTGCTGGCAGAATTTGCTCCTTCGTAGTAGGCCAAGTCTTACGGCTGTTCAGCTGGCCTGTCTGGCTGGTGATGTAATGCTGCATGCGCCGGTAGAAACAGCTGCCTATGATGTGGTGCTGGAGTTGCGGCAGCTGCGTTAGTTGCCTGATTGCAGAGCGTGGTCGCTGGAGAGTTGCGGCAACTACGTCAGTTGCCTGGTCGCAGTGAAGAGCTGATGACTCTGATGACTGTTAGCTCTGAACTGAATGTGATCACTGACCATTGCGAGCTTTGGGCTCCGCCTTTTATACCATGCTTGATGAGCGGAGCGAAACTTGCAGTTGCGATTGTGAGCGCTGATGATCTAAATGTGGGCTGGACAGCAAGTGCTGAGCACTGGTAGCAATGTGATTGGTTAACGCACGTGATGATCTACAGGTGGATTGGACATCGAGCGCTGTATAAATATGAACGTCAGCAGCCATTTGCGGCAATGTGATATTGACCTAGGAGTGAGTGTTGTCTGTTAGACCGATGAAACAGCGTGTTAGAATGTGGGATGTTCCCACAATAGTAATTCTGAAAGCAGTCGATAAAATTGATTCATCAGTGTCTTGGGGGAGGAAGTAATCAATCAGAAATGGAAAAGGCACATTCTGATCAGAGAGTAGGCCATTGCCAGAAGGAAAGATGCAAACATTTAACAGTGAGGCATTTATGGTCAGTCATTCTAGAAATCAAAGCAAAAGGAGTTACGGTTTGTTTTTGTGGATGGTCCATCAACGCTATACAAAACTATGCCATAATGAACATCAATCCACACTACAGTTTGAAAAACAACAGTTTACTAGAAACCTAAAATGTTAGTTAAGAAAGTAAACAACTTTTAATTTTAACCAAATTCAGTAATGGTTTAGATCTAATTTTAACCAAGCTTAGCAGTATTTTAGAACAAAGGACTAAAAAGCAATACACTGCAGCAGCTATATATGTAATTTACCTGGCAATGACAAGGTCAGAAAGTTTTAGAAGAAAACTAAAATACATGACAAAGTAGCACACCATCAGTCTACAAAAACAAGAAGTTGAACCACCGAGACACCTGTGTGAATTAAACGATTAACCAGTGCAACAGGAGGCTGAAATATAATATTAGGAGTAATAATCTCAAGTATGTTAATTTTGTTTCCCAATCACATGATAAAAATAGAATCTAGTAACTTTCAAATGATGTAATGATCAAAGTCAATCTTCATTCCACCAACTGCTCCACAATCACCCTCACCTATCATCTGGGGCTGTTACAATAGGCCAGAAGTGGTCGCAGTACAAGGGACTTAGTCCCACTCCACTAGCAATAAAAAAGTCATTAACTCGTAATGATACACACTCAAAGATATTTCAGACAAAGCTTAATTTTATCTGTTGGTTCATACGGGAGTGGAATTTGATCCCTCATTACAAGGAAGGAACACAAGACTGAGGGTAGCTGAGAACGAGTGAATAATATTGAGATTCAAGGGAAAGGAACAGAAAGTTGGAGAAAATCGCATGAGGAACTTCTTAGTTTATACTGTTCACCAGATGTCATTAGCGTGATGAAATCAAGGGGGATCAGATGAGAAAGACATGTAGCATGTGTGAGGAAGATAAGAACTGCAGATTAGGTTTTAATCAAATAATCTGAATGTAAGACACCAGTAAGGGGGAGAATAATATTAATAGGTGTTAATGAAAGACGGTATGAGGGCATGGACTGGATTCAGTTGGTTCAGGGTTAGGATCCAGTGGCAGATTCTTGTGAACATGGTAATGAATCCTCATATTCCATAAAAGGCAGGAACTTCCTGACCAGCCAAGCAATTGTCACCTCAGAAAGGTCTGTGCTCAGTGGTATTATATGATTATAGAAAATAAGATGCTGGTATGTTTGTACCATTGTGTACAGCCAGAAAAAGAATGAGATTACATAAGGGGGAAAAAAATGAAAGGTCAGGTATCAGTTCTAACTGCCTGAAAACAAACACAAATATTACTGGCAATTTTAGTGAGAGTTTACAAAATAAATAAATACATGGTGCAGGCCATTTCTTGAGAAGTTTACAGCTGCTCAAGAAATCTCCTAATTCTTATGGAACCTGAATGCCCATTACTCATACTTATCAGTTAATTACTGTTTGCATGGGCTTGCCACTGGACACTGTCCTGGAGCACGTGAATAATCCATCCCACAATCTCACCACACCACAATTAAGGTAAATTCTTGTGTTATAATCCTGTTTTAGCTTGTGCCCCCTTGATGCTTTGAAACTAAGAGTTTGTGCTACTTGTCCCTCTGACTTCATCCTTAATTTAATTACCCTAACAATATCTGGTGAGAAGTTGAAGCTCTTCACTGTGTAATTTTCTTCAGTCTCTTGTTACTTCCCTTCTTTCAGGTTTAAATATTCTCCTCAGCACTTAGGTCTCAAAACTTCAATATGTGTTCATTCTTACCATATTGTAGGAGACCATGTTTTTCACCGAAACAAAACAGTAGATTTCCTGTACAAAATTTTAAAGAGGCCAGGGGTTGAAGCACCTCCCTATTTTCTTTGCATGAAGGAACAACAAATTATGCAACAAAAGATGTTGTTTCAGTTACTGCAGTAGAAAAATACATTTCAGTTCTGTTTAACAAATATCTTGTTCTTGACTGGTGACTTCTAGAACTCTACACAGTTCCATTTTTCTGCAAAAAGATGGCAGGGTATAAATTCCCTTGCTGGCTATGTAGGTATCACAAGAAAATTAAAAAAGAAGCAAAATTTATAGACTGGGAAATTCAGGATATAGCAATATTGTGTCATCACTGGGCCCAGATATCCCCAGTACAATGTGATGGAGTGGTGTAGGCTGGACTGGAATAATCTGGTCACAGCAATAGGGTGCAGCAGAGGCCAGAGGGGGATATCCCAGGCATAGCAATGTGGTGCAATATAGGTTAGATTGGGATATAAAAAAAATACAGTAAAACTTGGTTATAGCAACATCGGTTTCTGCGACACCTTGTCTATCGCGTCAAATATTCAATGGTACGAACTAATTCCTCATAAAGCAACTGTTTTTATACCTTGCTTAGTACGACATGCACAAATGCATCAACCTCGTATGTAACGTCATTTTCATTCCTGAATTTCTCTGATATGGTCATTGAACGTAATTTAGAAAGTGTGTATTGGGCAAGTAACAGGAAACAGATGAAGATAACTGATTACTGTACTCGTATCTAGGTACAGTAAGGCACAACAATTGATGTAATCTACTGTAATTTGGTGAGTAGGCCTACCTTTAATATACAGTATTAGTGCGGTGTGTATTGTCAGTGAAAAGCGCTGTAATATGTCTTTGATATTACACATTTGGGCAATTCCACGTTAATGTTACGTTAGTCTGTACTTAACTACGTATTTCACTAAAAAATGCAACATTTTAACTCGGTTTTTGGTAGATTTTTACGTGACTAACATAAGGCTACTGTGGAAGTGCCCATTTCGGTTACGACATTCGTTTATAACGACACTATTTTTAGGTCCCTTTGATGACGTTATAACCAAGTTCTACTGTACTTTTATTTCTCAACATAAACTCCCAGTACATTCAGGCACTTGTCCCATCATTTCACAAGCCCGTGAAAACCAGCCGCATAAAATTCTCTGGGGTGCTGTCGGACCCAGGCGTGTTCACATGGCATGGCCAAAAAATAAAAGTTTAAGGTGACACCATCCTCCAGGAAAATGAGGCTCAGTCTTCTGGGATCACGAAGGCATACTGCTCACCGCATTCTGGCCTCAAGGTGACGCAGGATGTTTCTACTGCACTGACGCATGCTTTGTCTCGGGCTGGTAATGGTGAACCCAAGACTCATCACCTGTGACAATGTGGGCTAGCATATCGTGTCCTTCATCGTGGTAGTGATTGAGATACTGTAATGCCAGACCCATTTTTTTTATTTTTATTATTATTATTGGAGGGGGTGGGTTTCTCCATGCACCGCGACTAATAGTCTATTGTACGTCCCCCTTTGATATTCTACCAGTCGCCATACCCTGCCGTTACTGGTGCTTGCTATCAGCCCCGTTCAGCCAGCGAGGCTGGCAGTGGTACCCGATAACTTCCCCATCTACTGGAGGCATTGGAAACTACTTGGGTGGGAAACTTTGCCTAATTTTGCTCAGAGGTCTCCTAGAGACATGAGGATCTTTTACGTGCTGTAAATCTATGACATGGAACCCACGGCTTAAAGTCCCTCCCGGAGGACTTGTTCCCTGAATTTTTCCGCCCTTAAAAATTCCACGACCTCCGCTGGGTTTGAACCCGCATAACTTGAGTCATGAGGTGGGAACGTTACTCCTGGACTACGGAGGCCACTATGCCAGATCCATTCTTTGCATTTTGTGTTGGGTCAGCATGTGCGGCACCCATCGTGCACAGACTTCGGGAAAACATAACCTGTCATGCATTATGAGGTAGGCTATGCCATGTGAACATGCCTGGTTCCGACAGCAGCCCAAAGAATTTTATGCTGCTGGTTTTCAGGGGTTTGTGAAACGATGGGACAAGTGCCTCAATGTACAGGGAGATTATGGTGAGAAATAAAAGCATTTTTCAAATCAGTACTCTCATTTGTTTAAGTTCTATATCCATTTGTAACATGCTTATTGACTTACCCTCGTATATTGGATGAGGTCTATTCTGGTCACAGAAGTAAATGGATTAAAGATTTACAGTTATGAAACAAATAACAAGTGCTGTTTCTTTTGCCAGATGAGAGAACCTGGATAACTCATAGTGATGGCAGGAACAAAGTTAAAGCATGAGCTGGGGCAACATTTGGTTAAGAAGAAGGTGACCTGCACTGGTCCATGTGTCCAACTTGCAATCAAGACTGTTGCAATTATCTTAGTGTATTATACATTGTCTATTGGACTCACCTTCTATCAGCGTCGATTTCTTCAGGTAAGCATGCTTTGCAGCAACATCCATGTCTCAATGAATATTGCCAGTATCCAGAAGAGGCACAAACAATTCCTCTATCACAAAATGGTCCAGTTGTACATTTTTCTTCTACTTTTTGTCATGTTTGAAATCCCAGTTAACAGTCAAGAAGTTCCACCATCTGAGTAAGAGAAATGTACAGTTTAATTGCATCTACTGCCTTGTGAGAGACATACCACTGTCTATNAAAATGACCTGTGTTGCTGTTAGAAGCTGGTAGCTGAGGCATGGGAATAGTTTGGGAACACAGAGTAAGGGGAACATTGCTGTTGGAAGCTGTTACCAGACAACGACTGGTGAAGACACAGCAGACTGAGAAGACTCTGTGCATGCTGTACTGAACTGCAGTGCACGTGAATAAGTGACAGCACTATAGTTACTTGTAGTTGTGTTCTGTAAGAGTTAAATAAATCCAAATACCAGTCCAAACCTCCATCCATAGTAACCCCCCGAAAACACACATATTCATGAGTCCACTTGATTATACCTTGCAACATGACCAAAGCTTGCAGTTAAGGATGGTCAGTACTCAATGATAGTCAAGGGGAGCAGGTTGAGGTATGCTACTGTATATAGTAGCTCCAGAAAGATAAGGAGAAAAGGCTGAAACATACCACTATATTATCTGCACTAAGAACTGGTTGAGGCATACTACTGTACATTATTTGTTCCAAACAGATGTTGAGAGCAGACTGAAGTATTAATGCATCATCTTCAAAAAGCAAGGAGAACAGGTCCAATTATACTATTCCAACAGTATAGCTGGGATAGCCTGGTTGGTATGATGACAGGCTCTGGGCTGGATGGCCAAGTTAGGGCAACAGACGTGTCTCTTCTCCACCACAGAGTGCAAACCGGTTCTGGGGCAGGGTCCTACACTTTAACCCCTCAAGCGTGTGTGACGCACCATATGCATCCGCTCAGTTACATGCATCTAGTGTGAATTAAAGCAGGGGTATTTAAATCCCTCCTGGTGCTTTATTTTCGCAAGCACTCAAGGTTTTGTGCAGACATTTCCCTAAGTATTTTTAAATAACGAAATCGCTATTTGAAAAATTCCAAAAAATTATATTATATTTACAATTGTTTACAGTTCATTATTATAAATATCTGTTTACATTTTGTCAAGCTATTTATTTTTCCCAGCTCTCCATATCCAGTGTCTAGTAGTTAACCTTGGTGTGGTATTGCTCAAAACAGGGGTCTACGCAGAGAGACGGTGTCCCTGGGCAGTTTTTACACCTGTATCAGGTTTCTTTTCTCTTTTCGTTTTGTATACACACCACACACCTTCTTCTTCCAACTTTATAAGTTTCAGTTTCGGGATTTTCTTGAATGAAATGCTGACCCATCAACCTCGTATATTCCATGTCAGTATCTGAAGGACTCGCTTTGCGCTTTTCTAAATTCTGTCCACGGGACTTTGCTATGATCTTATTCACTAAGTTTATTCTGAATAACCGATAATCTTTCTTGTTACCAGCCTTGCAGTACAGAATGTAAGCATTCAACACTGCTGTATTTACTAAGTGGTTGAATAATTTCTTGTAGCACGCTTTTTGCCTTTTCCTTTCTAGCAAGAATGTTTCTAGTAGCTGATCTTTCAAGTCTACACCTCCCATATATTTATTATACTCTATTACACACATGGTTTATTTACAAATTCTAACCCACCCTTTCGACTTACAGGTTGTATTTCGTCTGAATGTTTAGGAGTCAGCACTGAGACATCACGCTTATCCTTCCACTTCAATGCCACCAATTTCCCACACTTTGCACTAACTACTTCTCCTTCTTCAGTTTCTTTTTTAGATCTATTGGCATAACTTTGCACGTGATTTTCACTGTTCCAACAGCATCTGTTGTCCTCTGAACTAATCTCTGGAAAAGATCGGACTGCTATAACAATTGTCCATATAAACACATCTGCCCGAGTCTAATAGTTTCTCGCACAAACTTAGAACCACTTTTGTTGAGAAATGATCTGTGTCTTTGGTGATTTCACAGCCTGATTTTATCCCTGATCCACTGTAAATTACAAAATTCCACAAATATCCTGCGGAATCACAAAGTTCAAATATTTTAATCCCATACCGGGAAGCGTTCATAGGAATATACTGTTTCCATGAAAGTCTACCTTTCCACAATAACAAAGATTCATCGACACTTACTTCTTTGCTCGGTATGTACACTTTCTGGAATTATTTTTCAAATATGCACTTACCGGAAGAATTTTGTACAATTTAGGATCTATTTTTGCCATTTTCTTATTGGTATTATCTACAAAATGGAGAAATCTGGTCAGCAATGGAAACCTTTCTTCGCTCATTACAGTGGGAAAAAATGGTGTTTCTAACTTATGTTTCCTACTAAAATACATCCTGAGGTTTGGTTTCTGAATTATTCCCATTAGCATAAGCAAACCTAGGAATATCCTAATTTCATTCAAAGTTGTGGGAACCCACTTTTGAAATCGCGATTTTATTTGCGTCAGGGGCAAGAAACTCTCTCGCCAGGCAAGTTACGTGACCAAATGCCTTGGGGCTCCGATAAGAGTGTGTCGCAAGGCAGAAAAGGAATAACAAATTCATATATGTTGACACAGGCGTCAGGCAACTTCGACCCCTAGGTTCGTAACATGGTAAATCAGACACAGCTTCTTTGTCGCCAGTAAGCCAAGCCAGTAAGAAAAAATACACACACAGATAACAAGCATTCAATGAAAGTTAGCTAACAAATTATCTCTCTGAAGGCAAGTCGGAGTGTGAGTTGGAATAATTCTTTCGTAAGCAGCAGACACCAGATGCTTTGTCCCAAGCAAAGGGAGTAAAAAAAAATACCACACACAAACAGATAGCGAGGAATGAAAGAAGTCAGTATTAGCTCACGTATACATTCACTGGAAGTACATACATCAGAGCGTAGGTGTTAAGAATTCTTAGTGAAAAATTTGGGCGCAACATATGCGGCACGCACACTTACAGCACGGGTTTGAGCGGACGCAGACGGTGCGTCGCACACGCTTAGGGATTTAAATGGCTCCACTTAAAGTCACGCTCAAGGGGTTAATAAAAGTGTAAGATTAATAAAGGGCTAATCCAAGGGGAAGCACAATAGATCATTGAAGGTCACAGTGCGGGGGCCAGTTTTTATGGCCCAACCCTTACATACATACCTATTTATGGAAATCTATTGAGAATTTTAGGCTTTCATGTGAAATGGTACTTATTGCCATCTAGTTTGGATTATCATTATAGTTGCTCAAATTTTACCTTGGACCATAAATGTCAAATTTAACCAAAAGCTCTTCAACCACATGGATACAAAGTTATGGATGGACATGGCCAGTTATTATCGGGGGACAAAAAGGTTTGTTATCGCTCTTCCCTTATGAGAGAAATAATATTTGCTTGAGGGCAGAGGACATGGATTCAAAGCTACCCAAAATGCCAGAAATTAATAAGAAAGGTACGTTTTCTCACTAAATTTTACCAGAGAAGAAACAGCAGATTAGCCACACAATTTTAATATTAATTCCATTTTATTAACAGGGTGGAAAAAAGTTCCTATATACCAGAATAAAAAATACCCTGGGCGAGAAATTTGCTCATTTTTATTAATAAAAGGAAGAGTTGGAAAGATCTGCATATAGATAAGAGCTGGTCCCTGTCAAGCTCAGAAAATAATGAGCCACTTCAAGGACATGCTGAAACTTCATATTATCTTCGCGCTGTTATGATATAGGGAGAATAATGATAGGATGGACAAGCAAAGGAGGTGGGAAAGGCATGTGTGTGAAGGAGGAGAATGGATAGACGAATGGAAAAATTGGGGCGAGGAAATTGTTTTAATCTGAACAAATGGGAGAAAGGAAAAGGAAGGGGAATGATGATAGGATGGACAGAGGGGAAGGGAAACAAATAAGAGAGAAAGGAGGAAAATACAAACAAAAATGACAATGGAAAGGTAGAAAGAATTGAATCTGTCTGTTATATTTGACAGTTCAGGTGACAGTAGCAGTACAACAGGAAAAAAATTCTAAATGCTGTTATGAAAATTTTAAGTGCCATGATGACCTGGCTCCCAGAATTTATGTAGGTCTGTTTATTAATATCTTAAATAAGTTGTTTTATGGATGATATTCTAAGCCATGACAGAGAATTATACCACAGGCAAAATATCTACACTGAAAGAACAAAGGATTACTTTCTGAGCACATGTGCTCCAGATACTGCAGAGAAATGCCACCTGTAATTTTCAAATGGAATAAATACCCTTTGCCATGTTCAACATGATAGAACACATTAAAAATAAATTTTCCCTCCTGCATAACACTAAAATGTCAGTAATCATCTGGCTTTACCCTGGCAGTTTGTAGCTAATCTTGTTTCCATTTTTGGGTGATATCATGTTGTAGTGGACTGTTCTACTGATGTTGGAATCATTATGTAAGGAACTTCATAGTCTAAATATGGTGATTATGTATGGCACTTTAATGAATATTTCATGATGAAGCAACATGGGACATAAAGAACAAAGACTGTTTTGAAGTTCAGTAACTAAGTCTCATATCACCACCTCTTCATAACTTAGATTAGTGAAGCCAGGAAAACTTGTGCACTTATTTCTATTATAGAAGACTATGCAGCCACATGTAACAGTTTTAAAAAGTGTATCTTACATTTCAGGAATTCAACTTCCCCCTGTCTGTGGTGCTGTGTCACTTAGTACTAAAGTTTGTTATTGCATCCCTGTGTCGCACAGTGTGGAAATGCTGTACATCAAAGCAAAGAGTTGTCCTAAACTGGGGAAACTTCTTGAAGAAAGTGGCACCTACAGGAATTTCTAGTGGACTTGATGTTGGATTGTCTAACTGGGGACTGGAACTTATACCTGTATCTTTGTGAGTGTATCTCTTTTTCCTGCATGTTTATGAACTGCATATGTTAGTAAGAGAAAATATAACAGTCATTCTGTTTCAGTATTGCAACTTCTGAGGTAATCAACAAAAATGTAAAGTTGTCCCTGTGCTTAATTAAGCATGTGCCACAAAGACATACATACATACATATACATTTGCGTTTCAGATTATTCACAAATGTGCACAGGCACAGAATATAAAACATGTCAACAAGCCAACAAGACATTGGAAACTTGTACATTCACAAACAAAATCACTAGCATATATAATCCATACTTGTCAAAAAAACACATAAAATTGTTAAAAGGAAATACAGATTGCAGAAAATACACATACAATAGTTAAAAAGCAATACAAATTGCAACAAGTACACATACAATAGTTAAAAAGCAATACAAATTGCAGCAAGAATATATAAGCACAGCCAAGGACATAGAGTTAAATGAAGTGTACACTGTCAGACACCTCTTGACAGGTCTTGACAGAAAAGCAAGAATTCCTCAACAGTATAAGAAGGGTTTTGAAGCAATACATCCTTTAGTTTCTCAATAAACTGTTTTTTATCATGTACCAACTCAATTAAAAAATCAGGCAAACTATTAAAAACTTTTACACTCATACAATAGACCCCTTTTTGCCTCTTTGTTAGATGCGATTGAGGAACATGAAGGTTTCTAACTTGTCTTGTTGATTTACCATGAATTGTATGATTAAAAGTATAATGCCCCAGATTGTTTACCATTAGTATCATTAAAGATAAAATATATTGAGAAGCCAATGTCAAAATTTTTAATTTTTTAAAAACTGTTCTACATGATTCTCTGGGTTTCATTCCCAACATTATCCTGATTGCCCTTTTTTGTAAAAGACACATGGGGCAGTGGAGATACAGCTCCACCATTCTTGACCTTGGCACTAGATGGAGGTGAGTGATCAGCTTCACACCCCAGCTGCTTTACCCCCAGGGAAAGAGCCCCTGGTACCCACTGGATAGGAAGCTGGGTGACCCACAGAACCAGTCTGGGTGCTGTGGAGAAGAGCAAAATCTTTCTCCTACCAGGAATTGAACCCCAGCCATCCAACTTACAGTCTGCTGCTATACTGACTGAGCTCTCCTGACACCTCCGATGTAATCAGTGAAGATAATAACTCGCCATCCTATGAGCTCACACAGTTCACTTGAGGAATTATCATAGACACAGTAATGTGGAGGTTGCAGGTCTGAATTGCACCAACATGATCAATGTTTGTGTGCATTTCTGATCAGCACCTACCACTCTTCTCATTATATTTAAGGTGCTATGTATGCCATATACTCATAAATGAAACTGTTCTCATTCTGAAGATGTGTATGGAACATGTAATATTTTAATACGAATAAAACAATCATGGTACAATAACAATAAAAATAAACCAGCCCCCTGCCCTTTTTCAAGTGGGCAGAACCTGGTCAGCTTCGGAAATCAAAGTTAAATGTTTTTTGAGAAGAAAAGAAATATAACTCTGATAAGTGATAACCCTTTAAATTAAAAAAAAACAAACAAACAGAAGTAGGATTTGTTTCATTCTGATCCGTCACACTAACAATATTCGAAAAACATATTGTAATAGTGGTTTCCGATTGTATTGATATCCTTCTGAAGATGGTCTATAGGACCAAAACATGTAAAGGATAAAAGATTAAAAAGAAAAAACTTCATCAGTCACACTGGACGGAATTAATTAACCTTTTGTAAACAAAAGTAGATTGAAGATGACAGCACAGTAGGCACAGTTTGATTAGGGGCCAGATAGCCATGATTTGAGGCTCTCACAGTGGTGGTTGTGAAGCATTCTATCTTCTGGGATATAACACTGTGTAGTCCATTGAAGATTAGCTGATGTTTTTGAGGAAAGTGTTGCCTCCATCTTCAGGGTCAAAGTACAAGCCAAGGAAGAAACCATCATGATGTAGGTAACAAGAGATTACATGGCATTATATACCAGAAGATGGGGCTCTTCATGAGGTTATTCATACTCACCTCTGTCCAGCCAGGCCAGTGTTTCTCAGTCTGAGTTCACTACTCAAAATGGAATCATGAGTGATATTCCAATGGATCATGGAACTTTTAGCAAAAGAATAACCTGAAATAAAAATGCAGCAAGTCATTAGGAAACTGAGGGCGTGAGGGAGGCATCTGATAAGGACTGCATGTCCACAGTCACAATAAAGGAGTTCTAATTCTGACACCCTTAGTCTCAAGTTCTAGCAAACGTGTAACTATCATCATAACATTAACATGAAGTTGTGAAAAGTATTTATGTTATCAAGCTCTAATTGATATTAAAATACTTACTTATCAGTGAAGTCTAATTTAGAGAACATAGGAGTTCTTTTTAAAGACTTCCATAAAAGTGGCTATAAATGCAGTGTACATAAATAAGGTTAGGTTGAACTTTTATTAACATTTAACAATGCAGTGTAGTTTAGAATGAACTTTGATTAATATTGAACGATTTAAATTATTTATGTGAAATAAGGAATATTATATACCAGAGCAAGATCTCTCATAAACACTGACAGGAAACAAAAGCACGTACATATGTTCGAAACTTTCGAAGTTGCTGTGGTAATTGCGTCTATCTCGCAGCTATTCTGTTTACCTTAACTATTCTTTTCTCACAATACCAGTCATGACAGCGTCTCTCCGAAATCTCTTCCCACCTAGTTACATAAACTCACCTTCGATATAAATGTGTGGTGTCATAGTTTTCGATATGATACATACCATACGATTTACTCGCAAGTACTCATGTCTTCTCCATAATGTTTTGACGTACGTTTTGTAGCAACATACCATACTGGGCTTTATTATAATAACGAAGTTAAATAACGTTTCATTGGTATTTGGACAAATTTTGTAATGAGTCCATATAAACATAACAGAAAATAGGCCATGAGAGAAATTTGGCGGTAGATTACGTATATTGGTCACGTGCAAAAATGCGCAAGTGCATGGTAACTACGTCATACTGCTAATCATTTCTACCATTCCATGTAAATAAAAAAAATAAACAGCACGTAAAGTATGTATACCAAGCAGACTCGCAGAAGCGGTAACACAATAATGTAACATATTCGGGAGGTGCTCGATTCGAGTTTCAGCCGGGACGCCGACTATCATGAGTTTTTCGTAATTTTCTTCAGTTCTTTACAGAAAATGCCGGGATTTTCTTTCTCTGTGGCTCAAGAGCCCTTTGGACCTTGGCCGCCTTTTCAGTTTCTTAATCTTTACACACGGTCGGTAGCGTCGGTAGGACTTCATGGGCGCTACCTACACACACAAAAACGTACACAGACATCCATACCTCAAGTGGGTTTCGAACCTACGACCCCAGAGTTCGAGCGGCCGAAGACCACGCGGTGACTGTGATCGACAATGCGGGGATAGTACCGCAAATTAGGCTTCAATTACTTCATATATACGACATCTTTGTTAGGCCAGTCACCGTACGTTGTATGCTATAGCCTGTAGTGATAGTTACTGACAGCGTCGAAAAATAATAATAATGCTAATAATAATATATTTGAAGAAAGCAGTCTTCTGGGATTTGGCACCGTGTATATGTGGTGTTAACCGACGTTTCGGAGGAACGTATCGCCTCCATCTTCAGGGTAGAAGAAAAAATATATAAGAATCTGCAAGCAAAGAGACCGTGAGANAATAATATATTTATTCGAAGTTTTGAGCCTACATCAGTCTCTTTAATTAAGTGGGTGTATGAGCTATTGTAGCTTTGTATTGCTCTTTGAGATTTTGAGCCATCTGACCAGTTTTCACGAAACTGGATTATTCCAGAATGTACGAAACCAAGTACTTAAGTGTGTAATTTTCTGGTCATTAATAGTAATATGAGGTATGTATGAATCTGAGGCGAGAGTGAATTATTTTTACTGATATTAAATTACATTCTTTTGTGGCCCAATGGGGTTGTCTGTCTGTTGCATCTATAACCTTTATTAGGCATGGTCTAGGGAGAAGGTTTCCTCATCCCTGGGTGTGTGTACATGCTGAAAATTGATGTTTGTCAGATTATCAATTTTTGTTTTAAATTCGCATAGTGGGGGGTGGAGTCCAACTGGATCCACTTGGCATGACGGCCACTGATTGGCCTATTGTAGCCTGCCCCGGGTGATTATGATGATGGAGAATTTGGAGGAATGAAGATTGCCAGGGGAAACCGAAGTACTTGGAGAAAACCCGCCCCAGCGCCATTTTGTCAACCACAAATCCCACTTGACCAGACCCGGGATCGAACCCGGGCCGCCGCGGTGGGAAGCCAGCGACTAACCGCTTGACCTATATGGCATGGCCGTCAGATTATCAAAGTATGAATTGTTTTTGCTAGGCTCCTGTTCTAGTTACTGTAGAAGTGTTAATTATCACAGTGCAAATCATTCCAGTTAGATGTACTTAATTATTTACTCATGGACCTGAGCCCTTCTGGAGGAGCCGCCAATTCAGCAGCTACTCAAGAATTTCCCAGCATTTTATGGAACCCGAAGAATCATTACCATGTTCACAAGAGCCCTCCACTGGTCCCTATCCTGAGCCAGATCCATTCAATCCATATCATCCCATCCTATCTCTCTAAGATACATTCTAATATTGTCCACCCACCTATGCCTTTGTCTTCCCTGTGGTTTCTTTCCTTCTGGCTTTCCCACCAATATCCTATACGCATTCCTTGTCTCGCTCGTTCATGCTACATGACCTGCTGACCTCATCCTCCTTGACTTGATCATTCTAATTATACTTGGAGAAGAGTACAAGTTATGAAGCTCCTCATTATGCAGTTTTCTCCAACCTCCTGTCACTTCATCTCTCTTCGGTCCAAATATTCTCCTCAACACCCTGTTCTCAAACACCCTCAGTCT